TTTCAACCAACCTAATACATCATTAGTAGATAAATTTAAAAAAACAGTGTACATCATTAGTAGATAAATTTAAAAAAACAGTGTACATCATTAGTAGATTAATTTAAAAAAACAGTGTACATCATTAGTAGATAAATTTAAAAAAACAGTGTACATCATTAGTAGATAAATTTAAAAAAACAGTGTACATCATTAGTAGATAAATTTAAATGAGGAAATTTAGAATCATGATTTGACTTTTTTATTTAATGTTTTAAAATGTTTTATTAAATTTTTATTACTAAACAAGTTTTGACTTACTAAATTAATTTTAATGAATAATAAACAGTTGTTTTTTTAATTGACCAGTGGCTAACAATTGGTTGCGACAACTATTGGTTAAAAACATCAATACTTAATGAAGTTGTTTGCCATCATTTTCTACATTTTATTATTTTATCACTTTCTTAATTTTATGTGGCACAACATGTTTTATTTGATGGAGCATTTATTATTTTATCTATATATATGAGCATTTATTATTTTATCTACTATATTTATGAGCACAAATACGTAGTCAGAATGTAATAATCATTAGAATATCATAACAGATATAAACAATTTAACTCTGTTTTTTTACCTAAAAATTTTTTAAAGAAAATAGTTCTCACAGCAATAGACAAGAAACTTCTAGTTACGTAATATACTGCAATAGCAGTATATTATTTATTTTTATATATACAAATTATATATATACAAATTATACATATACACACACACACATTCTAAATTCATTCGGAGCATATTCTAAATTTAATAAAATTTTTGTAAACTTAATGGATAACCTAACAGTTAACTACTTCTTATTTCAGGTTTTTAAACATAACAGTAACATAATACTAGTTTTTAAGTCTTATAATGGGTAATTACTTTTATGCTCAATGTATAAATCATATGAAAAAAAACACAACATAAATGCAATACCATTATGTTATTTCTAAACGCGTTATACATTGAACACAACAGGTAATTACTGCTATGTCTAATGTATAATTTGTATGAAAATAACATAATGATATTGCTGTAATGTTATTTTTGTAGGAATTATACATTGAACATATTTTTTTTTACTGTGTGAATATATATATATACACACACATATATATATATATATATATATATATATATATATATATATATATATATATATATATATATATATATATATATATATATATTAATATTAACATTTTAGTCCAGTCCAAGTTTAATTAGTTATTTTATTTTTATTAAATTTATTGCTAGTATCACTTACTTTAGTTATTAAAAAAATGTTAAAAAAAAACATGTTACCACTTAAACATGTATTACAACATTAGAGATTGTAAATTTACCAACTTTTAAATTTACCAACTTTTTCAGTAAATCTGCAAATGAAAATAAAATGCAGGTATACCAGTAAATTACAGGTAAAATTTTAAAACGTCAATAAAATAATACAGATATAGCAATATAAAAACATTTTTTTTAATAGCAATTTTTTTAAAAATAAATTTTACTTTTTTATACTCTACCTCACAAAATAAAAAATCGAAGGCAGACAGCCAATTTGACTGGCTAATACATAGAATTGACGGCCAACTGTTTTTATTCAATTAAATTTTTTTTTTTCAGTCCTTTAATTCTTGTCACATAACACTTACTGGATTCCCACATAATTTTAAATCAATTCATCTCTTTTTTAAAGGAAAACTCACAACAAAATTTTACGGTAAATAACTAATGCTCCAAGAAACAGCTCATGGGCTCAGATTCAAAGGAGTTTTTTGATAACATCCAAGTATTTTTAGTTTGTATTGTTTGTAATGTTTAATATTTTTGTGTATTTGACTTGTTCAAACTTTTTATAAAATATAAAGAAACTTTTATAAAATTATTAAACACAAGAAAAATTTAATTTAAATTTTTTTTGTAATTTATTACTCTCTAATGCTTTACAATGCACAGAGAGATTTTTTATTTTTAAACTTTATTAATAAGTTGGAGGGATTATTATTTTAAATAGCAACAAAGTGTAGCTGTAAAAATTATGAAATTTTCAGCATGCATCAATGATACGAAGTTTAATCTAGCCAATTAAAAAAATTGAAACTGAAGATTTAATACTTTATGTTTTATTAAATTTTTGTTTTATTAAGTTTTATTAAGTTTTAAAAAATTACAAGTGATTCTCTCAAAAACTCAATAGAAAAAATGCACTAAAGATGATTATAGTTTATTTAAATTTCTAAATAGGTTAATAACGTTCATTCATTTAATTGATTTCACAAAACTTTAAGAAGTTTTTTAAAAAGGTTTAATAAAAAAAAATTTAAAGAAAAAAATTGAATAAAAAAAACAACAAAAAAACACCAAAGAATAATTTTAATTAACAACAGAAGTAATAAAAGAACTTTAATCAAGTTTATAAAAGACAACCAGTGATTTTATTGTGAAGTGAAACAAAAAAGATGAATAAAAGTGAAGATATAGCATCATAATACGTCATAAATTACATCATAAAAACAGTAAACGCATCAATAAAGTTAATTATAAGGATTGTTTGATCTACATAAACCTAATTATAAAAAAAAAATATATATATTTTAATGCTTTTTTAAAATATTTCATTAAAAATATTTTAAATGTGATGAATTTTTACTTTTTGTTATTTTTTTTTTTTTGGTTCAAAACACATTGTTGTTGTTAGTCAAAACACTTATTTAAAATATATAACTTATTTTTTAAATCTCAGATTTTTATGTTGACCGCCAACACTTGTTGGACAAATGGTCATCAAATCAGAATGACTATAATACCCATCACACTTAACGGCTAGGCACTACTACTACTGACCCTGCAAGTATTAAAGCTCAAAACTTATGTCTTTCTTAACTTTTTTTCTTAACTTTAATTATGACTCTTTTACATGTATAATTAATTTTGTAGCTCATTTTCTAGACAACCTTAATCACTTTCTTACTCTTTAATTTTTGACTTTTACCCGACGCTTGCTTGTGCTGTTTACTTTGTTCACTTTTAGATGTTTTTGACAATTCTTATTACATTAGGGTTGACAAGGATTCCTTTCATGTTTTTTTTAAAATAGGCTATGGATTGCTGTCTTTTGTTTCTGCTAAAAATTGTACTTTTATTTAATTTAGCCTTGGGGAGGCAAATACAGTAAAAACAAACAAGCAAAAAAAAATTCACATGCTAAATCTATTAACCATCAGCCATGATAAAAAAAGTCATCACTTAGAGCAGTGATAAAAAAAAGTGATATGGCCAATCCTAAATGTGATGATTCTTCTATAACAGCTTGGAGCTCGCAGTGGCTAATCAGTTTTACTCTTAACAAATATCACTTGTTATATGCTAATAATAATTATCAAAATGCTGTTGACATTTCTATATTAATAAATAAGGTTGCACTTCTTCCTCTTTCCTCCAAGTACTAGTATGGTTGTTGTTAAAGCTAACTATCATTTCTTGTACCATCATCAAAAAACCAAGTCACATTATATATAATTTTAATAATTGCAACTTTACAGCCTATGTTAAAAATGAAGAAATAGCCCTTTAGAGAAAAAACCCAAATAAGGTCTGTTAACTAGTGTAATACATTTGAAAATGTGGTTCTCCCCTCTTTAATGCAAAACAATAGTTTTTTCATTTCCTAAAATATGTTTTTTAGTTACATAACTTATCTAGCAAAAAAAGTTTTGGACACTTTAACATTTTGAAACATCTTGATAATTAAGGTGGCCAGCCAATAACTAATTTAAAATGCCAGGATATTTCCAGGACTTTTCAAGGAAAATTTTTGGTTTTTCAATGATATATTGATCCTTTCTCAACAAGAAAAAATCAAAATGTTGAGAATGAAAAATAACTAAATAATTTGTAGATGTTAATAATACTGAAAGTAAGATTTAACTAATTTTTTTTTGCATTACAGTAAATACATAACTATCAAATTCAGTATAAATCTACACAAAGTTAATAACTTTGTAAAAGTAAAACATGATAACAAAATATATGTATTTCAGAAAAAATTTCCACAATTGCCAGGGATTATTGCTAAAAAAAGATGTTTTTCCAGGACTTTTCCACTCCCTATCAAATTCCAGGTCTTTCCAGGTAATCGAAAACCATAATTGGTTAAATAATTGGCTTATTGGTTCTAGTATCAGAAATGCAATAATTTTTAGCTTTCACCATATAATTGTAGGCAGAGTATAAGTTTTAATTATACTTTCCTGTTTAGATTAAAAACTTGAGCATGAAACCAGGCTGTTGCAACTTCTAATTTTTTAGTTATCACTGAAGATCAAGACAATCCACCTCAAAAGATTTAAAATATTTTTATTGTAATATTAAATATTACAAGATACTTGAAGATCTCTCAATGAGGTCTAGACCTCATCTTTAAAGAATTTGCAACTAGTTGCAAATATGTTATCTTTAATTGTTATTATATGTTATATTATTGTTATTGGGCTGATGAGGTTTATTTACATTCCTTATTCAACAATATCTCATGATTTATAAATCTACCTTTTTGTGTATCTGTTTGTTTACCATTTATCATTCCATTTCTTTAATTAAATTTTGAATAATTTTTTAAAAAATTTAATGTGATTGTATTTTGGATAGCACCAATGAATCAATGCAATTTTGATTTAATTATTACATATTTATTTGAATATTTATAAACATAACTAAGGAATTTTTTACTTCAAAACATCATAATAGTGAAGTTTTGTTTCAAAACATCATAAAGATGAGGTGAGGTTTTGTTTTAAAATATAAATAATGTGAAGCGAAACAAAAGCACCCAAAACCTGTAAGATAAATAATGTAAAAAACATTTCAACAAATTGAATAAAAAGTAGTTTATCATAAACAAAAATATTTTAATATATAAGATAATGAAAATACAAATTTAATGAGATATAAAAAGAAGGTTAAGTTATTACCTTTATAATAAGAGCCTCATTTGTACTCAATGGCTCTTCATTGTCATCATCAATACTTTGATGCATACTCACTAGCACCTTAAGTTCTTAACAAAAAATTTGTAACAATTTATAAACTAAAAAAAAAATTATTAAAAAAATAATTTAAACCAATTCTTAAGTTTTAATTCTATTTTTATATAGTGTTTATTTGTATGTTATTTATTTGTTATAAATTTTTAAGAACTTATTGGTTAATTTGTATTATTTTGCATAACATAATTGGCTTAAATGCACTTGAAAGGTATTAAGTTCAAATCTATAATGAATTAAAATAATTGACTTTTTGATTTATATTTAACATTTGACTTTTTTACTTAACGTACTTTCTGCATTGAGAGTTTTCTACAATAAAAATATAAAAATTAATAGATTTAAAACTATATATATATATATATATATATATATATACATATATATATATATATATATATATATATATATATATATATATATATATATATATATATATATATATATATAAAAATAACGTTTATGCCAAACGCTACATGCCTTGTTAGGCTTAAGTGTTCTGCTTTAGTGGTTTTGTTTGAGACCTTTGTAACATTACCTACCAAAACAGAAAAACTTTTAAAAGCATCATCAAAACATTAGAACTTGTAAAATCTTTGTAAACAACAGAATCTTGAAGAATTAGTAGAATCAATTAATATCTGCAATATCTTGAATAATCAGCAGAGTCAATAAATATTTGAAAAACCGTAAAAAAAAATAAAAAATCATAAGAATCATCATAAAAATCATTTGCTAAACAGCCTCATTGGAAACATAAAACTCATTGTTCCAAACAGCAAAAATCTTTGCTAAACAGCATTGTTCCAAACAGCAAAACAGCACTATAAAAAATCATCACAATTATTGTAAAAAATCTTTGCTAAACAGCATTATTGCAAACAGCAACACAGCACTATAAAAAATCATTGTAATTATTGTAAAAATCTTTGCTAAACAGCATTGTTCCCAACAGCAACACAAAACTCACTAGTGCAAAACACCATTAGGAAAAACAAAATCCTTGAATAAACTACAGGAAACAACTTCACTGTAGGAAACTCGTGGTGGTTGGGGCATCTCAATTCCCATCCAGGAATCTTGGTCATAGAATCCTGCCATTACTGTTAAAAGGTAATCTTCTAGTCTCTATGGACAGCCTTACAAGCTGGTCATAAGCAAATATGTGCGGGATGTCTTTTTCCTTTAGAGGACATTGATGTGGACTGATCTTGTTGTGGCTGTACTATAGCCTCATTTTCCAAGTGTTTTTGGAAATCTTTTTAGACAAGGCAAGGCATAATTTAAATTAGGTTTATACAATTCATCTGAAATTACGGTTTTCCATGCATTAGGGGCAGCTACTTTTTTCAAATCTACCTCTTTCGACCTTTGGTTAAAGAAGTTGGATTGGCATGTGAGGGCGACCTTCTTGGCATAGCAATAAAATAAGATTATTGTTGTTGTTTGTGGTCAGTAGGCATAAACATCTGCCACAAATGTCTTTACAGAGTCATTTAGAAAGTACATATTATGTGCACAAGATGATATTGAGGGTAGCTGATAAACTCCGATAGGCTGCACCTTTGTACAATCATATAACTCACCTATAAATAACCCTGTGGCAAATGTAGGTAGATAAGTAAGCATGAGAGAATAATGGGAATCACTATATTCCATAATTTGTTTATATGGGCAAGTGGTAAAAGTCTATTTCTGGTCAGCATTTAACTAGGTATTGAATTTTACCTTTCCTTTACCTTTTTCCCACTATTTCTTCTATTTTAAATCTGCATTGTCATTTTCATGTTCCAGCAAGCTATGTTGTATTTTATCTGTATTTTTTTACTGGTTGTAAATGTTACTTGCTTTTTTTCTTTCTGGGTATTTTCTTCAAAACAAAATTCATCACTTGTTTCTTTAGTTTCATCTAGAACTTCAGTGCTTAGAGCTATGTACGCTGTTGGTTTTTTTTCATAACCAAACCATTGTTTAAAATGAGATACATGGATTGGTGTTGGTAGTTCTTTATTATTCATATTTTCAATTTTGAATGTCACGGGGGATGTTTTTTCAATTAAAAGAAACCTATCATGCCAGAAACTTGTATGTTTTTTTGTTAAACCTTTCTTCATGATTGGCATATATATCCACACTATATGTCCTACTTGAAACGGATATGATTTAGCTGTTTGATCGTAGTGAAGTTTCATTTTTGTCTGCACTTTTTGAATATTATCCTTCACAAGGTTATGTAATAATCTTAAGTCGGACACAACTCATTGAATAAGTCTTGTGTTGGGTCTTTTCTTGGCAGTAGGGTAGTGTCGTGGGGTAGTAGAAAATCTCTGCGATATGTCAACCTAAAAGGTGTTTCTCCAGCAGATATACTAGTATTATACGCAGATATAAACTAGCAGATACAGTATTGGACAAAACATTTGCAAGCAACATCAAATAATGCTAAAAAGTGTTCCTAATTTTACATGTCTTTAAAACAAAATGAACTATACTACCGCAGCAAACAGTTCAGGAGTCTGGAGTCATAGCATGCAATGACATGAGCAATCAGCTGACAGGTGACAGCACACAGGCAGAATTTCGTTGACAAGTACCATTTTGCAGTAGACAAAAACAAGTGCAACTTTTTTGGTTTGTTTCATTTTCTTAATTCTGGTCCGTGTCAACGTCACAGAAGTTTTTTAATAATTAAAGGAAGTATCCAGAAGTTTCCAGAAGCATGCAAAAGCTTCCAGAAGTATCCAGAAACATTCAGAAGCATCCATACACATCCAGAAGCTTCCAAAAGCATCTAAAAGAAGCATCTAGCATCATCCAGAACAGGTTCATTTTACTGTATAAGAGACATGTAAACCAACATGTAATTCAGTCAGTATATAGAAGTCAATCAGTCTGTATTATCAAGACAGTTTGTCGAAGTGAGTTTTATCAAAGTGTTTTATCGAAGAACATCAATGCAATAAGTGAAATACAACAAGTGTTTCATTACATCAATACAGTCTACATCCAACCAAGACTTTGTGTTCCACAGATCATTATTGTATCATTACAAGGTAAATGTAACACAGTAAGCCTTGAGAAGCGTGATTATTTATTTTTATTATTTTTATGACTTTAAGTGCAAAAATGGCTCCTGACAGTCTTGGATTGGAACTAACAAAGAAAATTATAGGTGATTACGTAAGTGGAATGTCACAAAAAAGTATTTGTGATAAATGGTATCACGTGAAAAAATGGACCGTATCAAGACTGTTTCAAATATCGTTCTACGGGGAAGTTGGCAGCAGATAACAAAGGTGGAAGACTGCGTTCCACCACTTCTAAAGAGGATTTTATGATCGTCAGATCCATCAAGAAGGATCCCTGGATATCATCAGTCGAGTTACAAAAGCAATTTAAGCTGCCTGATTTGACCGAACAATCAGATGATGTGCTGTTGAAGCTGGATTGTTTTCTCGACATCCCAATCTCGAGGCAACATACATGGAAAGACTCTGAGCTAAAATCCCATTAATGCGTTACACAAAACCGTTGGTTTGGGGGTGATAAGTAGTTGTAAAAGACTTTTTTACATTTAATATTTCACACACTTCTTTTACCAATATGCTCGTAAAATTACTACCTCTATCGGTTAGAAATCGCTTTGGTGCTCCAAGCTTGAACACAATGTTGTCTACAAATAACTCTGCTGACGTTGCTGCAATGGTGGGAACTCCGAAAGCCTCAAAATATAAATATTATAAATAAGTAACCAAAAACAACTGTGTAGCGATTTCCTTTTAACGAAGGAGGGAAAGGTACCAAACAATCGGCTGCAATAACGTCCCACGGTCCAACAACAGGAATTGGTAGCAAGGGTGCTTTGCTAGTTCGGATTCCGTTTTCGTTGAGCACAAGTGGTACATGATTTTACCCAGGTTTGTATGTCGTTATACATACCAATCCAATAGTAATTAGTTCCAACTATTTCATAGGTTTTTGTCACTCTAAAGTTATACATACCAATCTAATAGTAATTACTTCAAACTTTTTCATAGGTTTTTATCACTTTAAAGTGACCTCCACATGGTTCATCGTGGGCCCAAGTTCTTAAAGACTGTGTACAACCAACTGAGTGAAATTTCTTGAGGCTTTTGATTCATGATGGAATAGTAAACCATTCTAAGTAGTAGTTACCTTTTAATGCTAAGACTTCCTTTGTTTTTTTTAAGTCTTCGGGTAGCTCTTTATTGGCTAGATATGACACTAAATTGGCATAATAGGGATTGTTATGATGTTCTTTTACAAACTGGTCAGTTGGTCTACCTGGTACTTTCAATGTTGCAACTGTGTCATAACTCTCTCTCAAAAGTCTGTCAGCATTACCATGCATTTTCCCCGGTTGGTACTCTATTTCAAAGTTGTAACCTTGCAATATTAAACTCCAACTAGCAAGTCAACCAGTTGGATCTTTAATAGACATTAATCATTTCAGTGAATTGTGATTTGTTACAATTTCAAAAATTTTCACATAGACGTAAGGTCTACATTTTTGGACAAGTTGGACGAATTCTCTCGTGCTGAGTTAGACGATTATTGTTCCGCCTTAATGAGTCTATTTCAGATTTGTAGTTCTCCAATATGCTAGGTTAAAATAACAAATGATAAAAATAAATATATAAATCTCTTCTTATGCAATTGAATTAATTGGCCTAAGCAGAGACTAAATCTACTTGTATCTGGGCAGTGCCTCCAAAATGGTACACTGTGGTAAGAATGATACTCCCTAATGTTACGTAATAATATTATCCAGAAAGTTTAAATAAAAAGTTACATGATCGTATCCAAATGTTAAACAACAGTATCTCCAAATATTAGACATTAACTTTATTTTAGATATAAAATATAACTAATTAACATATACAAATACTATCTTTAATATTCTTTACCTATTCATCTTGTAAATAATAGCCTTTTTATTGCCTCTTATAATTACTAACACTTCAGACTGACCATTCGACATCCACTTTGATTCTGACTTTTATCACAACTTTCTCTTTACTTTAACTATCCATATCTCGCTCCCTGTTTCCAGTTTTCTTCCTGTTTTTATATCTTAAACAGATGATAGACACGCCTACGGTTACTAAACAGGTTAGTTTACAAACAACGTTTATGCCAAACGCTACACGCTTCGTTAGGCTTAAGTGTTCAGCTTAAGTAGTTTTGTTTGAGACCTTCGTAACAATATATATATATGTAGATTTAAAAAACTATACAAAGATTTAAAACAGCTATAACTGCATATATCAGACCATTTTTGATAGTATGCCGAATGTATTTGGGCACTGCCAAAATTAAAAATTGAAGACCTTTTTTTTAAACGTTTTTTACAGCAAATACAGTCAGGGTGTATGCCAACATTTTAAGGTAGATTTCCCTGACTTTTCTTGATAATCTACCTGTTTACCCTGATTAAATTTATACTTACCCCTAACAGCAAACACCCTAACAGTTTTTTTCGTGAAAAAATGCTAATAATCTGCAATATTTATACTTTCTCCATGGCAAGGGGGGGGGGGAGGTTACCGAAACCCAAATTTTTTTCCTAGAATAGCCTCTGTATATATAACTCTTGGAATTATTAAAAAAATGAGGTCAGCAATAAATTGCTGACCTCAAACTGTTAGAGGTTAGCATCAGGTTGGCAAAAAAACATTGACATAAAGGGGTTACCATAAAACAAAGAAATGAGGTTAGCAATTTTTAGTTGGCCTCAAACACTTTAAGGTTGGCATTGCCGAATGCCAACCGTAATTCTGAGGGCTGTGTGTGTTTTTATATATATATATATATATATATATATATATATATATATATATATATATATATATATATATATATATATATATATATATATATATATATATATATATATATAAACTTTTTATTTAATGAAAAAATAAAAATAGGAGTTGCCTCTTTTTAGTGCACCTCTCCAATAAAGCCTTAAGAAGATGTATTTAAGTAAAAATAAACAAGCATTATTATTACTATTATTATTACTATTATTGTTAATTAGAACCTGAGCTGCAAAGAATTACATATTAAGCTGGGGGCCAGTCAGTAATATAAATATTTAATATATAGTCAGATCTACATATTAAACAACATTAAAACACACAAACAATTAAATATCAGTTGAAAATCATTACCAGCTCGTCTGAAATACATAGTATGCGCAGTTCCAAGAACACAGTCAAGAAATTTGGAAATAGGCCATACAATAACAAACAAGAGAACAAAAAGTAACTTGACCAATCTATAAAAAAAAAAAATTCGGTATTAAATAAGACAAAAAAAACTGTATAGGTGTGCTTTAGTTTATGTATGTATTAAAAATGAAACAAAACAATTTTAAAACTAAGTTTTATGCTATTTGCAATCATCAGATAAAATATATGTATTTTACCTTATGATTATGAATGGCATGAAACTAATAGTAGTAAAAATCGTGTGGTTTTATTTTATATTATGGATCTGATTTAATACATCAAACATTTTTGTGAAAGTAAATGCAAAACAACATAAATAGACATATATAGAAAGTATGTACAAAACAACATATATATATATATATATATATATATATATATATATATATATATATATATATATATATATATATATATATATATATACATATATATATATATATATACATATATACATATATATAGCGTATAGATAAAAATATTGTATAAATATAGCTTTATCTAACAGTTGTGATAACTTACGGAGACAAATAGTATCCGATTGCCAAACCATACCGTGTACAAATTGCTTGAGGTACTATCCTAATATTTTAAAAAATCCTTGAATATTCTTTGAAAATTTGAAAGCTAAATTTACAAGGAAACTTAAAACAATTTAAAACTTACTCCCCAAAAACTAACACAGCAGTGACTGAAACTAGTATTGCAACGATTGGATTACTTATTTTGTCCATAAAGATAGGCATACTCTCCACACAAATGGAATTAGCTAATAGTAGTGTAACCAATAAAAAATGTGGTTTTTTTACCAGAGGGAATATTGCATTTGCAAATTTCTTCTCTTGTGGTTTTCCTGCAACACATAGTATTTCCAACTGCGTTAGGTCCAAAGATAATAGGCCAATAGTCAAACCAGACATAATTCCTGAAACATTACCACTCTTCTAATTTAGAATGTTAAACATAACATTAAGAAAACCGAATTATTTTTCTCTTTAAGATTCGAACCTGCAAATAATACCAAGAAGATATAAACCCCCAAAAAAATCCAAAACATGTTGTCATCAGGTGTAAATCGTTTGCTGATTAATGAATAGTAAGATCCATTGCACAAGACTTCATCAAAGCTTAAATTATCACAAACCACTTTCATTATATCAGAATATATATAGATACAATAAGTTAAGTATATTTTTCTACCTTAAAAACAAAGACTATATTTGTGTGCATATATATATATATATATATATATATATATATATATATATATATATATATATATATATATATATATATATATATATATATATATATATATATATATATATATATATATTTAAACAATTTAAAAAATGCATTCACAAAATAGAGTGCTTAATGTTCTTAAAAGAACAGAGCAATTATATATATATATATATATATATATATATATATATATATATATATACATATATATATATATATATATATATATATATATATATATATATATATATATATATGTATATATATATATATATATATATATATATATATATATATATATATATATATATATATATATATATATATATATATATATATATATATATATAATTTTACAGTGTTTATATTAATAATAAATTTTTTATTATTATTGATATAAACACATTTTTTTCCATTTCTTAAACTCTTTTTTTCATATATCCTACTATTTTTAATACTTTTATATTTCTGTTTATTTTTATTTACATATATTCTAATTCAATATTTTACTATAAAAATTTATTTCAACATTTATATTTGTTATTTTTAGTAAATTTTTATTTATAATTTTATTCATTTATTTACAAAAGGAAATATTTATAGAAATATAACAATATTTAACTCTAACCTGACCCTTAACCCTGCCGTAACTTAAAGTCTTAGTCAATTTAGCAGCACTTTTTGGCATGTTTTATCTATTTGTCAGTCGATGAATGTACTTTTCACTTTTCATAAATGTTGCTTATTAAAAATGCACCCAAAATTATACATTTTTTTATAAACTTGTTCCTATAAGATACTATAAGCGAATATGTGTGTTTGTGTGTAAATATATACATACAAAATATATACTAAATTAGTACTAAAGCAGTGATTTTTCATAAATAAAATATATTTAAAACTATTTTTAATTTAAGACTGATTCAACACTCTCCTTCACCTTTGTATGCATTTAACACACACACACCCATCCCTCTACAAACTGCATTCTTTATTACAAAATAAGCACCCCCTACCCCAAAGCATAAACTTTTCAAAAGTAAGCCTGAATATCTATATAAATTTTGAATTATACTCAATTTTGGTACAACTAAATCAGTCAAACAAGTAATGGGCTTCAGAAAAAGAAATACTTTTTCTGAAACCTTTTATCTAAATTGTGACTTAATACTTCAGCTAAAGTTAAAATGATTCTTAAAATCCTTCACTGTTGGATAGATCAACCTATTATCCATTAAATAAATTTTAGGTTATTCTAATATTTTAATTTTTACTTTGGTCCAGAAATAGTACTTCTTCATCATCAAATACTGACAGTACTTTCAACCAACCGACCCTAATTCCAAGGTTTGTGTGTATGTATATATCTGTGTATGTATATATATATAATATATATTTATATATATGCACACACACACACGTCAAATCTCAATTTATCTTTTAATACATCAAATCTCAATTTGTCTTATGATTATATAAATTAGACAACTAATTGAAAATAAAAACAAAAAGAACAATAGATGTTTTTTGACAACAAAAACATCTAATATATATAATTTAAACTTTTAAAAAACATGTTATAAAAATTTAATGTTTTCGTTTTGATGAAAAACTTTTTTAAAGAACACTTTTCTAATATTTAATTTTTTTCTTATAACTCAAATTTCTCTTAGTGTGGGATCATTAGGAAACTATCATGATACTACTGTTCTTTCAGAATGATGAACAATACACAAATTTATTTTAAACACACCTATATATACACATATATATACACATATATATACACACACACATATATATACACACACACATATATATACACAACACACATACAAATATACATACATATATCTTTGTGCATTAACCTTTGCATATGTGGTTCAGTACATACATTAAACAAGTCTTTAAGGTTGTCTACATAAAGAAGAGTTTTTTTTACGGCAAAAACTGTTTGTTTATTATTTTATATACATTTTGTTACTATTTATATACATTTTTTTTTACTTTTTCTGAAAAACTGCTGGGATTTTCTGCAAACTTAAACTGTGCAAAATATATCAGCAAATTATTTGGTACAAAGGTCTGACCATAAAACATAGAAACAAGGTCGGCAATTTTTTGCCGACCTCAAGCAATTTCAGGTTGGCAGTTAGGTCTGCATTATTGAATGCCGACCCTAATTCCAAGGTTTGTGTGTATGTATATATGTGTATATATATATATATATATATATATATATATATATATATATATATATATATATATATATATATAATATATATTTATATTTATATATATGCACACACACACGTCAAATCTCAATTTATCTTTTAATACATCAAATCTCAATTTGTCTTATGATTATATAAATTAGACAACTAATTGAAAATAAAAACAAAAAGAACAATAGATGTTTTTTGACAACAACATTTCTTGTTTATTCAGAACAACATTCTTAAAACTTGCATATAAAATAAAAAACTATTTATCACTGAAAGGATATAAGAGCTTAAGCTGTATGAATCACTTAAAATAATATATTTTTATTAAAGATCCAAAACATATGTATATGCTTTTTAAAATACATTTTACACTTCTCTTTTATTATCACCCATATATAAAATTCTTTCAGGTTTGGGTTAGTTGTCTCTTCCACAAAATTATTGTGCAGAAAGAGATATTATTTATAACTGCTTTATTCCATCACAGATCATCACAGAGTATCTTAGTTATTTATGTTATCTGTTTATAACATGTGACTGAGACAAAGTTTCTGTGATTGAGAAAAAGTTTGACAGAAATTCTTATTTATCTTTTCCCATTCTTTCAACAACACGCTCTAAGACCTTTTTTGCTTCACAGTTCGGGAAATTTCGAAGATCATAATACTGACGTGCCAACTGAATCAACCTAAAACAATTTTAAAAAAAAGTTGCATTGGATTTTATAATTAACTTAAATGTAATAATTATATAAATTAAAATATTGCTGAAATTAAATATAATACTATAGAAAAAAATATTATACTATAGAAAAAAAAAATACTATTTACCATTCTGCTTTGACATCTGTACATGTGCGAATATAGTTTTTTGTTGTGAGCACAAACTCATTATAAAGAACCCATTCAGGTTTGTGATCAAGACAAGTAGAAGGATGCAGTTGAACTACCTAAATTTCATGAGACATTTGTTTAAACTTAGTTGTTTTAAATTTTGCATCACTTAAATAAAAAAAAACTATATAACATTTAAATAATAACTTTGTCATAAATGCTGAAATGTATGATTTTATAATAAAATTTAATTATAGTAATTACATAAAATAAAATTAACTACAAGCCATGGCGGGAATTAATGAGTGCACGAGCAGAGAAAAGCTCATGTAAAACAAACACTCTTTTTAAAATGTTAGTTACTTAAAAAGTTATTTAAATGTTATCAAAGCTGTTTGAAGTTAGAAGAGAAACACGGAAATCGTTTTAAAAGATTATGATATATATATATATATATCATAATCTTTTAAAACGATATATATATATATATATATATATATATATATATATATATATATATATATATATATATATATATATATATATTAGGGTGGGTCAAAAAAATTTTTTTTCTTGTTACAGGCTCTAAACATTGCTAATATATATATATATATATATATATATATATATATATATATATATATATATATATATATATATATATATATATATATATATATATATATATATATATATATATATATATATATATATATATATATATATATATATATATATATATATATATATATATATAAATTATTAAGTAGATATTTTTTTCTATTTTCTATTTATTATATAAACGTATATAAATGGAAATAATATATTTACTACAATATCTTTTTATTGTAAACAATTTTTAAGTTTTTCAAAAAAACTTAGTTCAGAAGCGATTTATGCAATTATGATATCAAACTCAATCATTCTTAAGTTAATTAAAAAAAATATTTATTTCTTTTTATGCAACAATAATAGTTCTTATAACTATATTTCATCTTGTAACAGGATTAAAAAAAAGAAGAATTTATATTTATCAAATATAAAAATAAATTGTGCCTACTGAAATTTATAAATCAGAGTTTAAAAAAATTTATTGAAATGAATTTTATATATCAAGAAAATTTCTTAATTTTTTAATTTTTCACAAGCCATAAGTAGCTAGTGCAAAGTCAGTTTAGGAGAGTGTGAGTGTGAGCTAAAGCTAATGCTTCCCATTCCCACCATGTCTGAAACTATATTTAAAAAATTAATCAAAATCTAAAAGCTAACATACCTGGTTGTCTTTCACTGTCAAATAATGACCAGTCTTTTCCAAATGAGCAATCTGTTGCACATCAACGATATTTTACACATTAGATTAAGTATGACCACACCTTAAAATGGAACACCAAACCCCCTTCACACTAAGGTTTTGTTATGACAGTCCATGATAAATAACCTGAACTTTATAGTAAGCATGTAAAATTTGTAATTTTCTCAAAATAAAAACAACAGTAAACTTTTATGCTGATTATTTTAATAAACAAAAAACTTTTGAAAAAAAATTTATTTTTTAATTTAAACAAGGAATGTAAAATGTTTAGCTCAAATTAATGATTCCCCCAAACAAACAAAAAAATAAAAAGAGATGATTTATCATTGAATGTCATAACATAATCCCAAGTATTCACAAAAAAAAAAAAAAATTTCTGAATTTTAAAACAGAAATTTTATCATTTACCTGCATAAAAAATCCAGTTACAAGAGCTTTTCTTATGTTAACATAGTAATCCCTACTGTTGAAGTCTGTACTAGTTCGTTTTAAACTAAATCTATCCATGATTCGCGCCAACTGTTGACGAACATTATCTGCAGATTTAAGAGACCGAACATTCAAAAAATTATCATAACACCATTGGGCTTCTTCGTGATCTAAACCAAAAAAGAATCAAATTGTTTAGATTTAACAAATCAATGGGCAAATTGATGGTCAGAAAAAGATGGTCAGATCGCTGCATCAGGCAATATACACTAGATTTGAATAAAAAGTATTTAGAAAAATATATTATAAAAACTTTTAACAATTTTTTTCTCTGAAATTATTATTATTATTATTATGGTTATCAGTGCATATTTCACTAAAGAAGTTAATATTGTTCATTTTATTTTTAGCAAGGTAATATTGAATAACAATATTTTATCAAAATATTATTAATAAAATGCAATTAAATTGTGATGTTTATTATTAGTCAAACTTTCCAACTATCAATTTAAATAAATTGAATTTTCTTTTCTTAGTCAGGACTGAGTATTATTAAATTTTAGATCAAGTTAAAAAATTGCCTTTACTCTTTAGTAATGTATTTACGAAAGAAAATGACATAATGGAAAGCAGTCAAATCCACATGAGTGTCAAACTGCTTGCATTCTTATCAAAAAAAGTGAATTTTAGTTTTCAAATAATATTCTAAATTATATAGCTTAACAACAGTGTTAGTTTTGAAATTCATTCAAAAAATTATAAATTGAATTTTAAGTTATTTTAAAATTATTTTGATAACTATAATTTGAACTTAAATTAATGATTGTCTGATAAAATTTTAATTTTGGCCTCAAAAAAATCAAAATTGTTTTATAAAAATTCTACTTTTAGCTTCAAATGTTTAAAGGTTTTAGGTACATTATACACTTAAAAATACTATACACTTAAAGATATAATTATAATAATATAATTAATCAATAATAACTAGTACATTAATAGTTTTTTTTTGCTGTAATTTTGTAATTTGTTTAATTTAAAATACCCTGAACATTTAATGTTTTTTTTTGCTGTATTATTAAAACTAGTCTTTAGAAATAGGTTTAGAATCTATTTATTCCTAGGTACTGGTGTCAAAAAGATCAGCAAGAGAGAGATCTTTTGGATCTGCATGTCAAAAAAATTTATGGCTTCCCAGTTTTGAATTCAATGAGACTATTTGTTCAGTATAAACCCTCAACTATGGTCTCTTTTTGATTATTTCCAGCATCTTCATCAGCAGATATCGGAAAAGGCTGCTTAGACATAAATTATAAATAACTATATAAAGACATCAATTTTTTTTTAAGTGTCTTTGAAAAAAATCACCATGTATTTAATTGCATAATGTGCCAATCAATTAGGAGATTTCTTTTTACATTTTTCTTTTGAAGTATACACCATCAGAGGTGTACATTGGATTTTAAGATGTTTGAGTTTTGACATTTACAGGCATTCTGAAAATCTTTGTATATTCATGATTAAGTCAAATGAGAATGTTTTGCAAATAATAGCAGTGATTAGAGCTTAAGAATGAAAAACCCTAATTTTTGGGCCCACCCAGCTCTTTGATTCCAGCTTAATGTGGGATCAACAAGTTTTATAAAATTTATTCTCTACTATTTTTATCTAAATCTATATTCATCAATAAATTTCAAATAATTAAAAAACTAGGGTTTTTCGTTTGCAACTTTTAATCATTGCAATTCTTTGCAAAACACCCTCATCTGACATAAGTATGAACATACAAAGGTTTAGAGTTTGCACAATGCCTGTAAGTGTCAAAACTCAAACATCTAAAAATCCTCTGACCATTCTTCAGTCAGTATTTGAAACTGTTGCATTAAATAAAAGAAATTTTATTTTCTTAAAAAGGAAATTAGAAAAAAATTTATTTTCTCATAATTTTTTTTTTAATCCAGAATGCCTTTAATTGCTTTAGACTGGACCAGAAATTACAGAAATTAGTGCTAAACTTATGACATAGAGAATCTTTTTTCATACATAGTTTCAAAATTCTTATAATTTTATAAATGAAATTCAGCACCATTTAATTATTAGATATTCGAAAAAAAACTTAAAAGATTTCTGCATTTTTTTTTTTTTTTTTACACTATGAAGCTAACTAAATTATTTATTTTAATTATTTTTTAACATTTGTATTTAAATGGATCCTTAACTGCCAAGACAAGTTGTGTTCATATTTAAAAAAATGTTTAAAAAAAACATTTGGGCTAAATTTTTTTGATTGAAACTAAATATTTATATATTTTTTTTACTTGCTTTATTATTACTTTGTGCTAGAAGTCAGCCAAAATCATGACACAATTATACATATTTTGTGATTATTAGAGTTAGCAGGCAGAGAAAAAATTAAGGCAGTATGATGCGGTTTCTCTTTTTATATATAGTTCCAGGCCTCAGCGGGAATAAATGAGCACAAGAGCAGAGAAAAGCTCTCCTGAAATGAGGTTGGGGAGCTGTGCGAGCTGCTTCTCATTTAAATCGACGCTCTTTTTTCTTTTTTCTTTTTTTTTTTTGCAACAACTGTGCTTTTTAAAAAGTATTGCAATATTATGCAATTAATTTTTTTTTTAATTGACACTGTGTTTTTAATTTTAGTTAGTCAATAATAATTAGACTTTTGTGAGAAAAGTTATACTTTTGCGAGAGCCGTATATTGCTCCCATAAATTGTTTTAGGGGGGTGTGGGTGAAAGCTAAAGCTCTCGCTTCCGCCAAGGCCTGTAGCTCATATGGTTTAATTGAGTTATTTGTTTTATGTTTAATTTTGATTTAGTTAATGGTTTAACTCTTTCACTACTTCAAGCCTCTGGTAGCAGCTTTCGAGTATGCTTTACAATTTATCTTGTTTTGTACATAAATTTCCATTCTAGGCACAGAATTTGTTTGTTCTAAAGGTTTAATTAATTCTCTACACAATCAAGAAAAAAATCACAAAGTTAAAAAATCTTGAATAATCCTTCATAAAAAAAACTTTTTTAAATTTAGTTATAAAAATAAAACAGCGTTAACACTATAAAACTTAACTGGTAGAAGTGTTAAATATTTAGTTAAGTAATTACTAAAGTATTTTGAAGAAAAAATATTCTTTGTATTCATTAAACGAGGTTTGTTTCAGGCTTAATGTTTTAATTACTACTTATGAAAACAATGGTTTTAAGCACTTTGCATTTCTTATTGCTTAGTGATACGTGTTATAAAACTTTATTATCAAATTTCAATTAATTGTCAATGTTATGCAAATCCAATGTTATTCAAAAAAATGTGCGGTTGCTACAAAAAGATTTTTGTTTGGCTGGTAGCGAACATGTTAATGCAATTCTTTATTTGTATATTTATATTATAACTATTTTTTGTATTTTTTAGTACAAATATTTGTTTTAACTTTAATTTAGTTTGGTTTGAACAGTTATTAGTAAAATAATAGCTTAATATTTATTTTCTACTTAGTTCAGTTTATATGTTTTATTCAGTTTATACTTTAAATTAATTTGTACGCTTTAGTAAAATTATTTTTTTAGTATCTAGTTTATATTTAGTTTAAACCAGTACATTTTACTGTAATAATTTGTTGTATATTAAATTTTTATTTTTATAAATTTTATAAATTTAATTTTTAATTGCATCATAAACTTTTTTTGGGATTTAGTAAAAAGCTATACAATTAACATGGTTTGGTGATAGTGGCAAAAAAATAATACGAAGAAAAAATTTATACAATGATATCATATACAGAAAATGTTATGAATTAAACATGCATGGAATAAATTATCAAGTCTAACATTATACAGACTCGGAAAACCAAAAAAAAAAATGGAGAGGACGAGCTTCGACTAAAACGTGAATTTCAAATTTAATGGTGTGCATTCATTATATAGTTTAATTCAAAAAAATTTAACCCTAAATTTTAAAAATTTAAAATTTAGGGTAATTAATGTAAAACAATTTTTTATCTGAGTCTTGATTGAGATAATAAATATTCATAATTTATGACATTAAATATGTGGCGCAATAACAATTTATAGCAACGAACCAGCATAAAATATTTTATATTTCATGCTGGTTCGTTGCTATAAATTGTTTTTTGCTAAAAATAGGTTTTTAATATTCGTTGCTAAAAATAGGTTTTTAACATCTTTTTAAATGTTAAAAATAGAAAAAAAAAATTAAACAAATAATCAAAAAAATTTCGAATAAAAATTAATAAAAATATTTCCAGAGTTTCATTTCTTAAAAGTCTACTGTGACGTCAAATACTAACCCTTTTATAAATTAAACGTGCTCAAAGGAATCGCTAAAGTCCGTAGATTGCAACGTATAATTTGAAGACTCTGAGTTATTGAAAAAAATGGAGAAGGCAAGCTTCGGCTAAAACAAAAACATTAGTTTTTCTCGGTATGCATTCATTATTTATTTTTAATCAAAAAAACTTGGATTAAACCTTTTTTTTACACATTATCTTTAATATGAACACAACATGTGTAGGGAGTTTGGGATCCCTTTAAGTCTTACAAGTTCTGTATATAAGTGTTCCTTTCAAACCACAAGAGCAGATTGCTTGTCATAAAAGGAGCTTAGGAGCAAATTGGTTAGTTTGAATATACTTTGATTTGATGGCAACATTTAACTGATAAAATTATTGATGGCCTGGACATTGTGATGTCATTTTTGTAATAGGTTTTATCATTTTTAACATTGCAAAAGTTTCTTGCTTTAAAAGATAATATTTTTTGAATGAAGAATTAAACATGATTAAAAAGAATTTAACATGATTTCAATTTTGATCAGACAAGATTTGTATTTTCAAGATTGAAGTACTTTTCTAATTAAAGCTTGGCTGCATTTACATTTTATGTATGAATTTCACTATGAATTGCTGAAAGTTGTTTTCTGTCAGACAATACTTTGGAGTTGTTTTTTTTATACTTTTCTCACATCTTTTATAAGACTATATACAAATATAAAAATAGTGGTCTACTCTTGTTTATCATTGTTGCGTGAGTGGCTGATCAACTCTCATTTAAAAAAACCTAGACAAAGCTACCAAAACATTTTACTAATACTTTTGGTCATATAAAAAGAAACATAATTATTATATTTGTATCTTACTTTAATATGTGTTTAAATTTATCTTTAGTTTGCAAGAAAAACGAATCAAAGTATGATTTAGGAGAAAAGGAACAGAGTAGGGGTGCAGGGGGAGGTGTTAAAGGAGGAAGAGGAGAAATAGCATCTTATTCAGTTACTGGAGAGAACTTGCTGCTAGGTGCTGTAATCAGCCTAATGTTTTATTAAACCTACTTTATTTTTGTAAAAATTTTTTAGCCTTTTTGTTTCCTTTCCCTTGTATATACACACACAATAATGACAGCAGCTTAATTTAATTCATTTAAAGGGTTAAGGTCAACAACTAAAAATGTATAAACATGTGTGTATATTTGTATATCTATATCTATTTAGACATATCTATATCTACACACACAAACATGCAAGAGTGTCACTACATTGACTAAAGGTATGGGCTGGAGCAGCAATCATTTTTTCATTATTCTATTCTTCTTTTTCTAAAAATTACTATATCGATTTAAGACAGTATAAAAAAGTCAGCAAATGTATATCTATAATGTAAATGTATATTATAATGCAACAAATTATATAATATTATAACTAACAAATTATTTCATAACATTTATTGCATGAATATGAATCTTTGAAAAAAAAATGTTGAAAATTTTTATTTATTAAAAAAAATATCATTACTTTGTTTAAAAGCATGGTAAACATTGAGTAATGTTAGATGATCACCATCGATATGAGCAAACTTCATTTTGGCTTCATCTGCAGCTTTCTTTGCATCATTTGGACGCATAAAAATCTATAAATATAAATTGCCACTACTAAATAAATAGTCAAAATTTACTTTTAAAATTTTTGATGTGTCAAAATATTAATAAAAATAATAATGAAAAATATAAATATATAACAATAAATAGTATAAAATAAATACAATATATAAATTCAAATTTTTTTTTTTTTTTTATCACTTTGCAAATTTGAGTAATGCGGTCACTGCAGCGATAAAGCTTTTTGTTTGCAAACTTTTTCAGAGTTTAATCCCCACCAGATACCTGGCAGCAATTCAATCAACTTGTTTTACCTTTCAGATCCTGGTTTGTCAATGTTTGTGTTGTGAAGTTATAGGGCTGAAAGGTGCTGTTTATTATAGGATAAAAATATATTCAATTTAAGATTGTTTATAAAGATTTTGACTCATATTTTGAAAAAATATATTCAATTTAAGATTGTTTATAAAGATTTTGATACATATTCATATTGTAACAAAGATGATGTTAATCTCAATTACAAACCATCTATATTTTTATCAAATTTTCTTTTATAATGTAAATTTTTTAATTTTTAATTGGTTTGTAATTTTAACTTTTAATTGGTTTGTATTTGACTTTAACAGTCAAGTTTGACTTTACCAGTCTTTACTAAATTCATTTATTCTTTATACAAATGTCTTGCATAAAAAGTTAGAAAATCTTGTCAAATATTTTTTTTTAATTACTTAAATTTAACACTTCACGGTCCTTTAAAAATTAATTGAATTTAACGCCTCACGGTCTTACAAAAACCTGGTAGAAACTAAACACTCTTATTAGAAGTTTAAAAAATTTTAAAAATGTGCGATTAAAACTTATGGTGTTAACAATTCAAATATTTTGAGAACTAAACAATAATAATACTTCTTGCATAAAAACCTTTTACCTAACTTTTTATAGATTCCTATATTACCATAAAATACTTTACAGTAAGTCACAAATGCGAAAGTTTGATTTAAAAAGTTTTTCATTGAAAAAAAAAATTATATATATATATATATATATATATATATATTTCATACTTTATTATGCGATTATAAAAATTTTACTTAGTGATTTTAAAAACATTAGAAAAAATTAACATTCACTGGAACAAAGATATGCAATGCTTCTGGAATAAACATAATTAGAAAAAACTGTAAACTTTACGTCTTATCAAATAATATACTAGAAAACATAATTACTTTACATAATTAATTACACTACTTGTAAACATTATTTAAAAAGGCTTCTTAAAAAATCATGCAAATGATTTTTTTAAATGATCATTTAAACAAATGATTATTCCAATATTACTTTAAAATCAAGTTAATAATTCTTAATGTATTTAAAATTTATATTTACACTTTTTCTTTTATTACCAAATCATTTAAAAGCAAAAACCTGTTGGACTGATAACATGGCCACAATTGAAAGAGCTTCATTTGAACAATTATGATCAGTACTTGCAATAACCATCTTTGCTAGCTGTGGATCTAACGGAAACTCAGCCATCATAGAACCTAATTCTGTAAGATCACCATCATCATCAAGGGCTTGCAAATAATTTAATAACTCAAGTGCTCTCATAAGTGTTTCTGGTGCTAAAAATAAAGTACTTTATTTACATATTCATCAGTTCATTTATTTATTTAGATAAATGTTTGGTAACTTATTAAGTATAAGGGAAACATTGATATGCAAACCAGGGTTGCATGGTTTTAACCATTGGTTTAAACCAATTAAAAAAATGTTGGTTTAAACCAAACTAACATTTTTTAAAAAGATTTGAACTTACAACAGGAAACTAAGGCAGGGTTATGCTCACAAATATAACTAATCTTCAATATAGATATATTTTTTTAAATCCATGATTTTTTTTTTCTGTAATTACAGATAAAATTAAAATTTTAGTAGAAACAATCAACACTTCAGGTCATTCACATACTGGTGAATATCTTACACAATTAGCAAGAGAAGCAATAGATTTTGTAAGGCGTAAATTTGGGTGCACAGTAAAAAGCTTTGTGACTGACAATGCAGCTAATGTGAAACCAATGAGACAAGTATTGTCATCTGAAAGAGATATTATCATAACTTATGGGTGTGCTGCTCATATGCTGAATCTTTTAGCAAATGATCTTAACATTGAAATTGTGAGCAAGCATGTTACACAAATAGTAAAATATATAAAAAATAATCATCAAGATGGAGCAATTTATATATTAAGCGGAGGAACAAAATTCCCACTTCCTACTGAAACTCGCTGGAATTCTGTGTGATTCACTTGAAAAATGTCAACAACTGAAGCATTATTTTTACAATGTTTGAAAAAAATAAAGACTTGGATCCCGTGATTGGTAAAAAAGTAAGTGATATACAGATAAAGCAAAACACAGAAGATTTATTGAAAATATTGAAACCAATTGCAGTAACTCTAGATAAGTTGCAAAGAGATCAAACAAAAATAAGTGACTCTTGAAATTTTTAAAGATTTGATGAGCAGTTTATCATTTTTATCAAAAAAAAAAATTGAATCTAGATATCTTCAGACTGTCAGTGATGCTCATTTCCTGGCAAACACACTAGATCCTAGATATTTTGGATCTAATCTTTCTGAAAATGAAAATGAAGCTGCCATGAATTTCGCAGACAAAGAGTTCAAGAATTTGTAACCAATATTACTCAAATTAAAAGCCAAATCTACTATAACATAATGGAAATTGAAGGTTTATTAAATGCACCAGCTTCTAGTGCTGGAATCAAAAGAATTTTTTCAATTTTTGTCTTGTTCATTCTAAGTTAAGAAACCGATTGGGGGTAGAAAAAGCAGCAAATTTATATATATGTATTTATATATAGAACATTAAGCAATAATATATTAAATAATTTTGATGAAATATAACAATAATATTGATAAAGAATATAGTTTACTCAAATAAAATACGTTATGCTTTTTTTTAATTTAAAAGGATAACTAAATTCCGCATTTTTTAGTAAAAACCTAATTTAAACCAAAAAAACCATGGTTTTTTTGGCTTTTTTCAAAAAAAACGGTTTTTTTTCAACCCTGATGCAAACCAAATAAAATATTCAATAATGCAGAACCAGCTTTTTGCTTCTTGCTCAAGTTTAATAAATTGCCTTTTTTATAATATTATCAAACTTGGTTCTGATATCCAAATTTGCATCTTATCTGTATTTATACTTTTATTTCGCCGTTCAATTAAATACAATTTTGAAGAAATTTTTTGTAAAATTAAAATTAACTGATAAAAAAAACTTTATCTAAAACTCGAAAATTTATGGGAAAATGAACATCTATGAACATTCTATGAACAGGATTGTCTTATAATGATCAATAAAATGTCAACCATGGACAGAATTGTCTTATAATGATCAATAAAATGTCAACTATGAACAGATCAATAAATTGATATTATGTAAGATTTATAATCAATCTGAAAATTAATTTGAAAAAAATACTTAAAAATAAATAAAACAGTAAAACTACATAATCAACAAATAGATTAACTAATAAACATTAGTATTACATACCAGGAGGATCCATGAAGTCAAAATGCACTAAATCATCTATTCCTAATTTTTTAAGTTGCAACACAACAGTACCCAGATTCGATCGCAAAATCTCAGGATATGTATTACTTTGCATTTCAGATTTATATGCCTTCTCAGTGTATAATCTAGAATGTATACAGGCCTTGTTAAGAAGCATTACACAAATCAAATTTTTACATATAAATGGTGATTTCACTAACGCATTAAGCCATTTATATATTATGCCAAAACTTTTTCAATTAGATTATTTAAACAGTCTTTTAAAATAGTTAATGCAGAAAACATTAATCAGTAATTAATTGTTGTAAAAAACATTTTTATTGCAATTGTAAAAAAAAAAAAAATTTAATTAAAAAAACAACATATGAATGAAATTTTTTTCTTTCCATTTTTAGAAAACTTTTTTTTAAATTTATTTTATTATATGTAAATTAAATTTATTATTAAATATTATTAAATTTTAAACTTATTTTATTAAATTTAAATTTATTAAAGAAAAAATTAAAATAATCTGCTTTACAATTTTTTGTTTGTTTTACTTTTTTAATTTCTAAACTATGTTAAAGAAAAGAAAACTTTTTTTATCAAATTTATTTAATTACTTTATTATATTCATTTTAATTACTTACTTTTTTATGTTCATTTTACATTTAACTCTTTTGTTCATTTATAGTTTTAAATAAATAAATTTTTTCACTTCATTACAAAAGTGCTGATATAAAAAAATGCTTATGCACTTAAAACTGTTTGTAAACGGATTGCTTGATAAACTATAATCAAATCTGAAGATAAAACTATTTTAATAAAATTTTTTTAGTTAACTTTATATAAAAAATTTAAGAAAAAATGATTTTTTTTAATTATGAAATTGCTTTCAATCAAAAGTTTTTATCATGTTATTCACCTACCCAAGGGTACTACAGTACAAAAAGGCTTTTTCTTTTATTATGGTTACATAATTTTAAAATAAGGTTTTTATTTTACCTGAAACATTTTCCAGGTCTTGTTCTCCCTGCACGTCCAGCTCGTTGTTGAGCACTAGCCTTAGAAATAGCGGATACAAGAAGAGACTCCACACGAATACGAGGATTATACACCTTAAAGAAGCAAAATAACTCCAATTACATAAAGAAATTTTTAAAGATGATGTGATCTAACTATATACAAAATTAAAAACTACATTAAAAATAAAAAACTACATTGGAAGACCTAGGATTTTATATAACATCTAATATAAAGTGGTAAAAACACGACATTAAAAAATATAAAGTTAATTATGTAGTAGCATTATTAAATCTAATATTACGAAAGTGTGAAAAATTTAATCCAGATTAGTGATGCAACCTCAAGAAAAAGTCTTGAGGATCATTAATGTGGATACATTCAAATGCTTATAAATCTTAGGTATACAGGTAGAAAAATCTCAAGCTTTACATGAGAAGCTGGAAGTTTACTTTCTAATATTTATCAAGTTGCTTAATGTGAAATTAACAAACTTACTGAAATTAAAGATTCTATATAAGATATTATAAAAAATATTAGAAAATTTTCAGCTAATGTAATAGGTAGGCTCTCTTGTTGAACTCCAACATTTTTGTAAACATAAACAAATTATCTTTTTATTTGCAACACTTTCTCCCCAAACCCTTAGTCGATGAATGAAAAGTCACTGTGACTTATTTCTGTTTAAGTCTGTCAACATATGTGCTAACACAGTGCCTATCCCTATATATTTCAGTTTACCGAACTCCTAATCTGAGTTAACACACTCAAGGACACTCAACAAGGACACTCAACAAGAACACTCAACATTGACAAGAGAAGGACACTTAACATTGACAAGAGAGCCTATCAATGTAGTAAGGCACTTTATTTTCAAAAAAGAAGTCTTATTGTAAAAATGCATAGAGATCCTTTGAGGGTAGGATAATTGCATCATGCCTACAGTGATTGTGATACAGATACATATAAAAAATCATACAGCAATTGTTTTTACGATGCCGATAAAACGTCATCTTGTATTGTCATTGGATTTTAATATTGTTGTGATACATATTGAGACTTTTGTGAGATGAAAAGATTTATTTTGAAATTAAAAACCAGGATACTAATTATCTTGCTTTAAAACTTCAAAATAAATCTTTTCGTCTTACAAAAGTCTTTATAAACTTGTTATCATTTTACCATCACATTAGAACTAGTTCTAGTTGGTTTCATGATTTTTTTAAATGAATTTTTAATAGATTTTAAATATGATGGAGTGACTGTTATAACATTTTTATGTAATTAAATAGTTTTTAATTTTATACATTTGAGGAAAGAAAAAAATGATTTCTTAAAGCAAAATATTTACAAAACTACTTTATGTTTCATCAAAATTAATAAACAGAGGAGTTTTAAAAAGCTCTAGGGGAGGAAAAACTATAAATTCAACAACTTCCTCCCTCTTTTAACAGGCGAGAGTAAGTATCAACAATATTTGGATGCCAAAAATATTTAAAACTATAAATCAATAAGTTTTTAAAAAGTTTCAAAAAACAGTGTAAAGTTTACAAAAACTATGCTATAAGGTTAAGTGTTTTGTTTCAGCTTTAATTATTTGTTAAAAACTCCATCAGTTTAACAAGTATGAAATATTTAAATTCATTTTTATTTCTACGAGTTTTAAAACAGTTTTAAAAATTTCAATTTTATTTGAGGTAAAATTGAGTTGATTCATCTTGTTTCAAGGTTAGTTGTAAACTGTTTGCTTTGTCTTTAGTATCTCAAATTATATTGAGTTCAAAAAAAGTCATCAATCTTTACATTATATCGCATAGCATTTTTACGATACCAAATAGGCAACATTATTTTGTTTATTTTGATTAGTTTAGTTTTTGCCATATTTTTGCATTTTTCCAATATTGATGTTGCGATTATCCCACCCTTAATAGAAATATAGAGATCCTAAAGCTGTAAAATTATTTTCTTAAAAAAAAGCAATAATAATTGAATTTAAAGTTAAAAATTTTATCAAAAAAATAATAGAAGAATTAATATAAATTATAACAAAAAAAATTTATTGAATAGTCTAAAATACTTCACATCTTAGAGTAAATTAAACAGTAGAATAAAATAAAAAAATAACTGAAATTGTTTTTATATTAATTTTAGATTCATACTACTTTATGCTTTTTGTATCTATACTTAAATTATAAACTTATGCTAAAAAGACTGCAATATCAAATCCTAGAATTTAAAGAAAAATAACAAGAAAATACATTAAAAAAAAATTCAATTACAAAAGTATTACTTTTTGTTTTGAAAATCCAGGATCTATTACAAAAACTACACCATCGATTGTCAATGATGTTTCAGCAATATTTGTTGAAACCACCACTTTACGACCAATTCCACCATTAGGCTTTGTAGGAGGAGCACTTTCAAATATACGCTGTTGAAGTTGTGGAGGTAGAGTGGAATATAAAGGTATAATTTTCATTTCTCCAACTTCTGGTCCAAGATTATCAATTTCCTTTTTGATGCGTTTACACGCTTCATCAATTTCCTTAAAATGAAATAACATATATGATTTATATAAACATAGCAACGTTGTAAAAATAGACATAGCAACATAGTAAAAACAAACATAACAAATTAGTCAAATTAAATATAGAACCAGTAAAAATAAACATAGCAACATAGTAAAAATGAACATAGCAACATAGTATAAATAAACATTAACATTTTTATTTGATATAGGAGTTTTTGAGACCTTCCTATCTTGTTACCAGTCTTAAAATGATAAAAAACTTTTAAATCTCAATAAAAAAATTATTTTACTTCTTGTCCAGTAAGAAAAAGTAAAACATCCCCATCTTGTTCTTCACAAAGATGGATCTGTACAACAGTTCTTATAGCTGCCTCAAGATAATCTCGCTCTGGTTCAGGTGTATAGAAGATTTCGACAGGAAATGTTCGACCTGGAATGGTCAGCAAAGGAGCATTATCAAAATAATCTTGAAATTTTCCAGCATCCAGGGTTGCAGACATAATAATCACCTTTAAATCTGGTCTTTGTTTTATAACCTTTACAGTAGTGAAAATAAAAACTCATTAAATAAACTACAAAAATCTAAAAATTATAATTATTTTTATGAATAAATGTAAACTGTTAATATAAATAATTATTTAAAAATATATATATAAAAAGAGCTTAAACATTAAACTTCGAAACTTATATTTAGAAAAAAATAGTTTATTTAATGTTCAAATTAATAATTATTTTAAAAAGTTAAAATAATATTTATTGAAAGTTGTTATCTTCAAACTCAATTCACTTGAACTCAAATCTGTTGTTTTAAATGTTATTAAATTTTAGATGTTTTTAATATATACATTAAAATTTACAATGGTATAAACAGACCATATAACAAAGGAGTGCATTCAGCTATTGACAATAGCATAAGAAAAAATAAGTGCTAAAATTCAACACATAATAACTTTGAAAAAACAAATTTTTAACAATTTGAATTTTAAAACTAACCATTCTTAGAATAATCAAAATAGCAAAGTCAAATTAACAAAGCATATTTTGACAAAACAAACCACAAAACACTTTAAAACAAGAAATTGCAGACCAGAACTATTTTTTTGTAGGGGTCCTCTACAAATTACATCATGCAAAAAGGAGGTAGTGACTTTGTGACTAAAATTAAATAAATCTTCATAGATGGTTTTTTTAGTCACCAAATTTATACAATTTTCTATCAACTTATTATTTATTTATTTAACTTCTATAGGAGTGAAAAAAGAATGTATGTATATTCCACTTCCTCAATACCTATTTAACTCAGTTGATGAATGTAACTACAATGTGACTAGGGCTCAGTCAATATATGTACACGCTGATTGTTACTATTTTTGATTGAATTTATATATTTTGAATATATAAAATCCATCCATAGAAACTTGATTTAAATGCATTTAATATTTAATAATAATAAAATATATAAATTAAAAATCAATTTTTAATTTATAAGATTTATTATAAAAACTTTTTTAATTATAAATTTAATTTAATTATATTATTATAAAAACTTATTATAAAGACTTTTTTTGTTACCGACTCTATACAATGAATAAACAATTTTATTTTAACGCTTTATTAAAAAAAAACATGAAAACATAAAAACTTTTTTGAAATTTAAAATTAAGATATATAAAAACTAATAACTAGACAAAGGACCATAAAAAAATTGATATTTTAGCTTTCAAACCTCTTTGATTAAGCCCATCAAAATATCAGTAGCTAATGTCCTTTCATGTGCTTCGTCGAGTAATATTACACCATATCTGTCTAATAGAGGGTCAGTCATAGCTTCTCGAAGCAACATACCATCAGTCATATATCTATAATTATAATCATTTATGCACTGCCAGAAAAGTCTTTACTTTGCTATAAAAACACCAAATTTTAAAAGCCAAGGTAACCAAGTAAGCCTTAACTTAATAGACTAATATTCTCAAAATAAATTCATTAAAATAAAAATAAATTGATTAAAATTAAAATAAATTCATTAAAATAAAAATAAATTCATTAAAATTAAAATAAATTCATTCATAAAAATGAAATAAATTTACTTCATTACTGTCCTAGCACTTGAGCAATCTTCAAATCGAATTGAATAGCCAACTTCTTGTCCAAGAGTAACATCCATCTCATCAGCTACTCTCTGAGCAACACTCATTGCTGCAACTCTGCGTGGCTGTGTGCAACAAACATGTTTACGTCGACCCATTGAAACAAGATCAAGGCACCACTGAGGAATCTTAAAAAAAATATATCAGTAAAAAAAAAACATTTGAATAAATATTCAAAAAAATTAATCTAAATTTTTTCAGAAAGCACAAAATTGTTAGTATGTAATTGAAAGATTTACAAAAAAAAAAAATGTTCCTGTAAAATAGAGTAGTATCAAGGATATAATTACCATAAAATTTATTTTATTAGCCTTTAGTATTTTTATTGACAATACATATATATATATATATATATATATATATTTTTAAGCAACCAAAATTACTAAATAACCCTAAATCTAGTGGAATTACAGTACTAACTAAAATTAATATGAAAATAAAATTTAAAAAAAAAAATATTTGATAAATGTTTTCCTCTAACAGTAACAAGCTAATAAAACTTATTCAGGTATTGTTGGGAAGATTCATAAAAAATTAATTGCAATTATTGATTTTACCAAGTTATAAAACAAATAATCAAATTAACATAAAGCAATCAAATTATTAAAAGAGAATTATATGTTCTGTTATATTACCATACATAAGAACTTGTTTTGTTTAATACCAAAATATAATTTTAACTAATTATTAAAATCAAGAACCATCTTGAATAATTTATTTATCATTATACAGAAAAAAGTATATTTTAAAAATTTTGTTCAAATTAACTTAACATAAGATTCTTTAAACATTGATTATTAAATTTAAAAACAGCTTAAAATAGTGTATGTACAAACAAAATAGTGTATGTGCAAAACTGCAAAATTATGAGATAAAGTGAAACAATTTATCAGAAAATGATAAACAAATAAAAAAAAAATTCTAATGTTTTCTATATTGATAAGTTATTAAATCTAAGGGGATCACCAAGCGCTAAGTCAAGTTGTGTTCATATCTTAAATAAACCTTGAAATTAAGTTTAGGCTTAATTAAACTTAATAAAACAAATTACTTGAGATATTAACAAAAAAAACTTTTTATTTATAACGCCACACCATTTTTCTGGAAGGAAAGTTAAGACTTGTTAATTTTTTTTTCAAAAGAAATCTGGTCTGATTAAAGTGTTTATCTTTCATGCCAATAAAAATAAGTAATAAGGTTTAATTTAAAATGGAGACCTTAGTGCTAAAAGTAGTCATTTTGACAAATCAAACTAATTGGTGATTTTTTCTAATATGGTTAAGCCCTGGGCATTTACATTCTTAAGAATTCACCCATTTGTCTGGAAACTAGGTTTGAATCCACAGACTACTCTTTTATGTGCTTTCGTTTAGCACCACTTCACTCTACCACCTTTCTTTTTGTTCTATATTGCTCTCCCTCATCTCAAGACTGCACTCTTCTTGATGTTATTTCTGATTATATTGACCAAGCCCTCATTCTTTATCCATCAGCCAATATTGTTGTTGTCGGTGACTTTAATGTTCATCACACTGAATGGCTTGGCTCTAGTGTCAGTGACTCTGCAGGCATTAAGGCCCACAACTTTTGTCTCTCTCAATCCCTAACTCAAATAGTCAACTTTCCAACTCGCTTTCCAGACAACCCGAATCATTTACCTTCTCTACTCGATCTATGTCTTGTTTCTGATCCTAGTCAGTGCTCAGTTTCTTCACACTCACCCTTAGATGCTTCTGATCATGGTTTGGTCTCTCTAAAACTATTATCTCATTCTTCTTTACCATCAGAATCCCCCTATCATTGTACATCTTACAACTACCTTAAAGCTGACTGGGACTCTTTCTGTGATTTTCTTCGTGATGGCCCCTGGGTAGAAATCTTTTGTCTTCCTGTTGACAAATGTGCTTCTTACATAATTTTGTGGATTCAGGCTGGCATGGAATCCTTTATTCCCTCTCGACGATTCCAGGTCAAGCCTCACTCTTCTCCATGGTTTTCCTCACATTGTGCTGCTGCAATTGCCAATCGAAACCATTACTTCCATATCTATCAGCAAAACAATTCTCCAGAAAACAGACGTCTGTTTATTACTGCTAGAAACCATTGTAAAAAGGTTTTGTCTAATGCCAAAGCCCGCTATTCTCAGATCATAAAATCTCGTATTTCATCACAAAAATTAGGCTCTCGTGACTTCTGGAGAATCTTTAATAGTATCAATAATAAGAGCAAGTCTGTAATTCCACCTCTTTTGTATGGTTTAGACTTAGTCACCTCACCTAAAGACAAAGCTGAATTGTTTGCCAAGAACTTTTCATCAATATCATCTCTTGATGCCACTAGTTGCGTTCTACCTGATATAGCCGTCAAACAGCTTGATCCATTGCTCGACACTTGTATCACTCCAGCTTCTGTATCTAAAGTGATTTCCTGATTAGACTCTTCTACAGCTTGCGGCCCGGACAACATACCTGTTATAGTCTTGCAGAAGTGTTCTCCGGAGCTGTTGTCTATCCTTTCAAAACTATTTAACAAGTGCTTATCAGAGTTTTGTTTTCCAGCCTGCTGAAAAGCAGTGTCTGTTATCCCTATTTTTAAAAATTCTGGAGAGCAATCTGATTCATCTAACTACTGTCCCATTAGTCTCCTTCCTATCATAAGCAAGGTTTTTGAATCTTTAATTAACAAACACTTAATCTCTTATCTCGAATCTCATAACCTACTTTCTGATCATCAATAGGGATTTCGATCTTCTCGCTCTACGGCTGATTTGCTATCAGTAATAACCGATAGGTTTTATAGCGCATTAGATAAAGGTGGAGAGGTTAAGGCCATTGCTCTTGACATTTCTAAAGCGTTTGATAAAGTTTGGCATGCTGGTCTCCTCCATAAGCTTTCTTCTTACGGTGTATCTGGAAACATCTTTAAGATTATTGAATCCTTTCTTTCCAATCGTAGTATAAAAGTTGTCCTTGATGGACAGCACTCTTCTTCTTATTCTGTAACCTAAGAGGTTCCCCAAGGTTCAATCCTTGGCCCTATACTCTTTTTAATTTACATTAACGATCTTCCAGATATTCTCACATTTAAGGTGGCATTGTTTGCTGATGATACTACCGTTTATTCTTGTCACGATAAGAAGCCAACTCCCTCTGATTGGTTGCAGTGGGCATCTGAGCTTGAAAAGGATCTCACTTGTGCTACAGCATGGGGCTCACAGTGGCTAGTGAACTTTAAATCAGATAAAACTCAATTTTTTTCAGCTAATTGTTATCGCAATAATTTAGACCTTCCTATATTTATGAACGGTAATGTACTCGATGAGTCTCCTATCCTTCATCTTCTAGGATTAACTCTTACTTCTGATCTTTCTTGGAAACCTTATATCAAATCCGTTGCAAAATTAGCATCTGCTTAAGTTGCTTTTCTTTATCGTGCTCGTCACTTTCCTACTCTGGATTCTATTCTCTATCTCTATAAATCTCAAATCCGGCCTTCTATGGAATACTGTTGCCATATCTGGGGCGGATCTTCTAATGATCCCTTTTCTCTTTTAGACAAGGTGCAAAAACGCATTGTAAACATAGTTGGACCTGCTCTTGCAGACAACCTTCAACCTCTGTCACATCGTCGTAATGTTGCTTCTTTTTCTCTTTTCTACAAATACTATAATGGGCACTGCTCTAAAGAGCTAGCGTCTTTTATGCCATCTACTAAAATTCATTCTCGTGTTACTCGCCATTCAATTAAGTCTCATCCTTTTTCTGTTACTGTTCCTAAGTGCTCCAAAAACTCTTATTCATTTAGTTTTTTTCCTCGAACTTCAGTTCTTTGGAATTCGCTTCCTATATCTTGCTTTCCTGATTCATATATTTTGCAATCTTTTAAGTCGTTTGTCAATCGTTATCTTGCTCTACAATCTTCATCTTTTCTCTTTCAGTAACTTCCAACACTAATTAGTGGTTGCTTGCAGCCTTGTTGGAAGCGAAGATAATTAAAAATATATATATATAATATAAACTATATAAACTTGTTTTTATATAGTTAAAACATTAATATTTCGTATTAATTTTATTTTATTTCAGGAGAAGCTCACACATCTTATGACAAAAAGCTGAAGTAAGCCTGTCATAATTGAATTTCTTTGTAGATGTCTTACTAAATTTATAGGTATTGAGAAAGAACAAATATTTTCTACATTTTCTGCTCTTAAAAATCATGACGCACAAAATGTATAACTGCAGGGTTGCATAAATGTAACCCCATCAATAGTATTTGTCTAAGGCTTAGAAAAGAAAATGGCAAAGAATGAAGCAGCTTTTTCTATTCAATGGAGCAAACTGTTTCCGCTTACAAAGCAGCATTTCTTGTTATGCATGGTGTAAAAGAATCTAGCACATTGCAAGGGCCTAAATGAAGTCATTTGGGCCCTTACATTTCTGGTCCTCCAGCTACAACAATAAAATTATAATTTTCATGGATAACTGTTTTTCACAGAATAAAAACCATTACATCTTTGCCTACCTACATATAAGAATGTCACTATAACACAAGCTTGTATAAAGTATCCTTTAAAGGACATAGCCAAACGCCTAGTGATCAGAATTGCGGGCACATTGAAAAAAGGAAATTTTACCTTTACAATAAGTATCACTTGTAAAGAATACAGATACCAGCAAACCATATAATGTTGTGTATGTGAAACATCTCTTTACATTATTACTTTAAGTGATTGAAGATGGAACCCCAGTTGTTAAACTACTTGACTAATGATCCCTTGATAAAACCATAACTGGAATAGTGTAAGCATATGTCAATTTTTTGTCAGTCAAAACTGCCAAATTTTATATTTGTGAACTTTTAACACATGCCTATCTTCCAGAAATAGAAAATGAGTAATTAGTGACCCGGCCCCCGGCACCAGCCCAAAAAAAGACTTTTTGCAAACCCGGCCCCAGCAGAATTATAAGATTTAGCAGAAGTTAATAGCTAGGGCTATTAATAAAATTATAATACCTTAATATTATAAATTTATACTTAAATTTACTATTTATTAAATACTGGTATATATTATTATATTTTTAAACTCTAATTTACTAAGGTTGTAAGCAACCACTTTTATGTTATGAGTTATTTGAAATTGAAGATAGGTTAAAAAACTAGGAAACGGTTAAGCGTATATATTTTATTCCTAAAAGTTTTAGCACATGACATCATTGATTTATTTTGCTTATATAAAATTATCCATTATTATTTTGTTTATATAAGATTATGTAAACAAACAAAAAAATCAATGATGTAATGTGCTTAAACTATTCGGAATATAACACGCTTGAAAAAATCGTCAAATCTGTAGATTGCGGCGTATATTATGCTAACTTTTTGGCCTACAACAAAACGGAGAAGGCGAGCTTTGACTAAAATAAAAAAATTAGTTTTTCTTTGAGTACATTTATTCTTTTGTTTTAATCAAAAAAATTTAGCCTAAACATTTTTTTTTTATCATACTTTTTAATATGAACACAACAAATCTCAGAGGTTTGGGTTCCCTTAAAAGAAAATTCGCTTTACAAATTAAATTAAAATTTTTTCTTTCTGCTTTTTTCAAACTCAATATCAGGAAAGGTTCTTTGACATTATCTTTATTTATGAACTTTTGAATTATTATTATTATTATGAATTTACATTGTTTAAAATTTATATTATATATATATATATATATACATATATATATATATATATATATATATATATATATATATATATATATATATATATATATATATATATATATATATACATATATATATATGAAAATATATTTTACTCAGTGTGTTATTTATGTTTAACTGATTGTTGCAACTCTATAAGTATATTTCTTTATCTTTTCAATTACCTTTGTCAATATTTTAAATGTTAAAAAACAAAACTTTCAAGTTAAATTTTTTAAACTACTTTCTTTTTTCTCCTTAAAAATATTAAAATTAAATTAAATTGAAGAAGTTAGCATTTAAAAATTTTAGGAGTACCCATAAATCTTAAAAGATTTGATGGGTCCCTAATTTTATAAGAAATACTTGACTTGTTTTAAAATGTCAACATGGATATTTAAAAGATGCAAAATTATACGAAAATTACAAAAATAACAAATTTTTTCAATAGAAATATAATAATATTGACACAAAAAGGACAGAAAAAAAAACACTTTTAAAAAATATTGTTTTGAGAACCACCTTTATCTACATACACTTTATGGTTATATATAATAATAATGTATTAATACACAGTAAAACAACAACAAACAACCAAAAAAATGCAGCCCTTTACTCCTAATAAAAATTCTAATTCTGATTAAATAACTAAAATTCAACAGTTTCATAATTCAAAAAAAAAAGTTTCTAATTTGGACTTATGTTTCCCAATATTTGTTTAGTTTTGTTAACTGTTAATACCTGAGTTGTTTTTCCACTGCCAGTTTCACCAACCAAGACAATACACTGATTTTCTTTTGTAATCTTTAAAAATTCATCCCTATATTCCCATACTGGAAGCTGTAGTCTGCGTTTAAGTATAGCATAAAAACGTTCGCTAAATGGTTTTTGTGTAAACGGATTTATTTTTGGGCATGTTTCTTTAAGACTTGTAATTGCCATTTGAGGAGGAAGTTGGAGACTAATAAAAAATAAAAAATTGTAGATGCATCATGATATAATAAGTAAATTACATATAGATAAACATTATATAAAGGAATTAAAGACATCAGTCGCCCTATGTTTTGGGTCTAATTTTCAGATTTTTTTTTAAAAAAGTTCATTATTGTTTTCCCAAACCCAAAGTATATATTGAAAGCCTATTTTTATACATAGTAAATTGATCAAATTTTTTGTTCATTTAAATATGTGATAACACCCTACTGAAAAGATTAACTATTATTAAAGGAGAATAAAATACAAGTACTCTCTTCAAACTCACCATTGAATTTGAAGAGAGTACTTATATTTTACTCTCCAACAAAACTAAATTATTTACTGCAAACAATTATCGCAATACTGTCTACATTCCATAATTGATGAATGGCAACTCTCTCATTGAGTCCTCTTTTTTATGTCTTCTTGGATAATCGTTTACTACTTCTTTCTCATAAGAACCATATATAATCGATTGCTTAATTTGCAAAGTTTGCTTTTCTTTATTATTGGCCAGAAAGGCGTACAATTTCATTTTTAAAAACTTGATCACAGCTGTTAATGTTTAAAAAAAAATTTTTAAATACTCTGAAAAAATTTTAACTTGAAAAAACCTTTAACCTTGAAAAAATTTTAACCTGAAAAAATTTAAAAAAAAAAAAAAAACTTATCATAAACAAGCAAATAAATCTATGCAAAAAAATAAAAAAAATAACGAAAAATAAAATTAAAATAGCGTAACTAAATCTGAAGTAAAAAAAATTAAAACTTAACAAAAATAAATAATGAACTATAACAATAAGATTATTTAAATTACGTTTAAAATAAATAACTTTGAATGGTTTATCTTTAATGTTTTTATAATATGGGGCCATCCATAAATTATGTCAGTAAATATAGGGGGAGGGGGTACTGAAAAGTTTGACAAGAATTGACAACATTGAAGTCCCCAAATTTGCTTTGTGGGGGACTTCAATGTAAGTTTCCTAGAGACATGAAATAAATTAAAAATTTACCAACGTTTTATTATCTTATTACCATTTGACTGAAAATCTAAATGTTTACAAATATCATTAATTTTTATATAAATTTAACAATGATTATACGATCCCTAGCGGATTATAAAATGTACTTCAAAGCAAACGCATAAAGTCATTTGTCATTATTATTGAACATTGCTTTAACAACTCATAGGAAGATAATGAATGGTTGAATTTATATTATAGATATAGAATAAAAATTTGATTAGTTTGTTCATTATTTGATGAGGTATCAACTGTTCTATAATACAACTTGCTGAGATCTACTATCATACAAATCAATGGTTTGATTGAATTACAAAAAAAACACTATTTTTTTTTTACCTACTGGCAGAAACATGTTAGTTGTAACTGTTAGATGCCTTGGTAAAATAGATAAACTATACATCATTAAAACAAGAATCCTTAGAGATAATAAAGAAATTTCAGGTCATAATGGAACTTTCTATTAACAAAATCAAACACTTTATACCTACTCTTTGAAAATGATTCAAAATTTAAAATTTAAGTCTTGTGGTGACCTTAAGCTTAGCGTTGACTGATTATGAGAAAATTTAGGGAGTGTACATAAATTAGGGTAAGGGTTGGCATTAAAATTAAATTACTATACCGCAACTTGTGGTTATTTATTCTTATCATGTACAAATAATAAATCCACATATTATTAAAATTAATATCACAGTAATAATTATAACAATAACAACGATAATAAATAAAGTAGAATTAATAGGCTATGACGATTGAAAAAAAAAAAATTCATCATGTAGCATATTAACAGAAAATGTTGTACTACAGCTTGTGTTATTGAGCAAAATTGTTTTATTCTATTGTTGTTATTTTTATTCTATTGTTTTACTCTATTGTTTTTATTTTATTGTTTTATTTTTTTCTATTGTTGTTTAATTTTTTTTTTTTTTATCTATTAGACATAAGTGTGAGATATAAAATAAACTTATCAAAGGCAGAAAATTCATGTATAAAATATTTAATAATTATACAATAAGATTTTATCGGTTTAAAAAACCTTATAAAATCTTATTATTGTTTAAAAACCAACTTACAGTTTTAATGAAAGAGAGTTTAATTTTTTGGGCATAATTAGCTTTAGTAAAAAATGAAAGATTAATTTTTAATCCTTGCATGCAAACCAGTTTTTAAAAATTAGGTACGTGAGTATCGCGTTTTACGGAACCGAATTTTGTGCTAAAATTCTGTTCCACGTTTTTCGTAGTCTCTTAAAAGTTAGAGTGCTTGAGGAAGGCCTTGTGGAATAACTTTTTAGTATTCGTTATCAACATAGATTATTTTTAGAAAGAAGAATAGTTGAAGCATTAGTTCGATTGGTTTTTAATTATACTCACTTAATTTAATAACGAGTTGATTCATGTCAAAATTTTGGTTGTACTTCTGTGGTGAATTTAATGTCCAGGATATAGCCTTTTTTTTTTCTATCCATTTTTTTTATTAAATTTATTCATTTATCTATGCACCTGCCAATTTTCGTTGAAAAATATTTTGTAGCAGTCACCTTATTTCTTGCTGCACTTTTGTTAGCTAATTTACATTTTACCTGATGTTGGCGTGGGAGACAGAGGGGTCCATTGATTGTTTTTATTTATATTTATTTTACATATATAGTATTCATATTAGCAATATTTGACTTTTGTCATAAATTGATATTGTAAACCTAGATATTTTAGAATAAAAATATAGCAAAAAAATTTGTACATTTAAAAGAAGTTACTTTAATAAAACAATTTTTAGTAAATATTGAAATAAGACTTAGATTTTATATTTGATTTAGAAATAAAATGGAGGAAGAAAATAAAGGTTTCATCTAGTATTTCATATCATATTCATAATAAGAATTAGATGTGAATTAAATTATTGATGAATCATATCTAATTTGAAGATTGAACGTTGTTTTTATTTAATAAGAAATATCTTTATGGATAAGTTGTTTTGATATAAATTTATTAAACTGTTTTTAAATTATCTGGCCACTATCTAAATCTTTATGTATAACTTAAATATTTCTTTCACTGTTTTAGATGCCCAAAGTTGTAGTGCAGCCGACAACATCAGTTAGTTACTTTCTGTATTCAATAGCTAAGTAGTTATTAAATAGATGCTATTATAATATATGTTCTATATATGTTCTATATATATATATTTATATATATTTATATATATATATATATATATATATATATATATATATATATATATATATATATATATATATATATATATATATATATATATATATAAATGATATTAGTTTTCTAATACAGTTCTTTATTATGCCTGTATAGATTGTTGTCTAACAATATTATTTCTTGTTAGTTGTATTTTTGTATACTTAATACTTACATTTTTTTAAGTCACTCTTTTTTTTCTGTAGACAATTTACAACAAACAATCAGTAAGTTAAGTTTGAATTGTTTTAGTCACTATATCATTTAAAGTATTTGTATGCTGTGTTAGTATTCCTTGTTGAATAAATGTTTTGATTTAAATTTTTTTTTAAAAGATTTAAGTTTAAGAAAAAGATTGTTAAATGGTCAATTAATGCAGCACATAAAAACAGATTTACAAATCAACTGCATCGATGCAAAGAGAGAGATGAGATTTGCCAAAGACAAAAAATCAAGCGCCAAAAAATGGATGAAAAAGAAAAAAGAAAGTTAGA